TTTTCCTCTGAAGGAGGTTGAATGCGAGACTAGATCATGAAAACCAATAATTCTCAGACTATTCGGTGGGCTTGTGCTCATGCAAACACACACAGATGCTTAGAATATAGAAATTTTGCAATGAAAATGTCTATATACAGTAATGACAAAATATGAGACGGAGCCTAACGTCACACGAAAGACAGACAAAATGCTCAGAGCTTCATGATAACGTAGGGCCTTGGTGAGCTGACATTTACCCTGTACTCCTCACACATACACTCACTCAGTGGGTTTCCATATGCATGACAATGGCCCGAGCTGAGACACTGACAGGAGAGGGACAGGGGAGTGATAGCAGAGAGGAGGTGAAAGGCCATATCCTGAACCAACTGTCTTTAATAGATGGCAGAGGGTAGAATGTGTGAAAAATGTGTATGTGTGTGCATCCATGCATGAATCATAAAACATAAAAGAACCTCTGAGTGACATATAAGGAAGGCTGTGCCGCTGCAGATAGTGAGTTGGGTGGACTTCAAGTGAGAGACAGAAAAAAATGAGATACTCTAGTGATGTTCAGATCAAGACTCTGGCAGAAAAGACAGATAAGCAAGCCGCTGGTTTTATTGGCAGATTGATTGGCGAGCATAGACACTCCGATTGAGAGTAACAGAAATATATGGCAGCGTCTACATGAATAAACTCTTGGAAAGTCATACGAGTGACTCTCAGCTCTGTGGAATTGACAGGATTGACCACTAAATCGTATGAGCCTACTGCTGATGTACACAAATGTGAACTTTGCTTACACGAGTGTCTGGTGGACAACAAAAATAACTAAGATTTAGCTTTTAGGCAGACACGTGGTATTCAAAAGCTGTCATGCTTCACGTACAGAAAGAGCCAAAAGAGAGAAAACGATGATGTGCGAACCATAAGGTATCCACTTCAGACAACGAGTAATTTGTCAGAAAAATACAGCTTTCTCCCTTTAATCATAGGGAAGAATGCGTCTGCTTCTGAAAATCCTTACAAGCAAATGCAGATAACAAAAGAACAGAGCCTTTAAGCTGTCTGGAGGTTTTCACCAGGCTAAAAGCTTTGCTGCCTATTGAGCAGTTGTGTTATTGTTGCACCGCAGAGAACAAAAAAAATATCACTGCATCCAAATGTTGCATGTCTTTTTTTAAAATTTCTATTTTATCAGGCTATGAAAGCCAGTTTACTCTGCTCGTTAATTCAAACAAAAATCTCTGTAAACCAACATCTCAAAAATATGATGTATCAGTCATTCACTCAAGGAGAAAAACAGCCTTTTTAAAATTACAAAATTATGAAGGATAACAGATTTGAGACATTTCCCAAATGATGCATCCAATTTAGAAATCACACATTATGTAAAAGCTGGTTGAAAATTGGCGATTTTCTTGTGACAGTCTTTTTCAGGTATTTCCTGAGAGCAATAAATAGAATTTTCTAAAACATGTCCTATTCCAAATTTTTAAAAGTAAAAAACATCAGTTTTCCTTTACAACAACAGGAGCAAGCACAGGCACTAGCTCTATTATTAACAGTCTCAACCATAACAAAATTTTTTCTCCAGGGTCTATAGAACATTATATTTCATAATGAAATATGATGCAGTGCTCTCTCTAATGACTAAATCTGCAGTGCATATTGCTCCCTGTTGACCCTTTTCCACCTGGAGCAAATGCTGAACCTTTTGCTGGTGAAACGCTCGTCCAAGTGCTCTGCTCTGCCAAGCTGCTGGCCCTGTCAGATCCATTTACAGACAAGCAGACCGGACAGCTGTCTGCATGTCCAGAGGGGTCTTGGGAGAACCCACTTATTTCTTTTCATTAAGGCTGACTGATCAGTGGGCTCTGCTGGGAGGTCTACTCATCTACTCTCTCTTTTATACTTCATTTGGGCATCATTCCAAACGTAGTCAGCATTACTAAATAGCTCCATAAAAACTCAGAAAACACCAAGTTCTATAAAATGGATAGCTTCCTGAACAGAGGTTTGTGATCAAAAGACAATTTTAAAATTAGTTTTCACGTGCACATTACACTCAATCTGCACTCCAGATTCTAGAACTAAGTGAAACTTGAGTTTTATTGTTTTAACGGTTTAGAAGTGTGAACATAGACTGACAAATTAAATTATATCAGATTAGATATTAACATTTTCTGTTTGCACTGAGGGATATTTTAGGATTAGTTTAATCTTAAAGAACAATAAACAAAACTCTGAGGATCCTAAGCTAAGTACTTGCAGTGTAAGGAATGCTTCTTTTTCATAATTTATAAAACAGATCACTTTGCTTTCAGGTTTTGCAGTAGGCTATGCAAAGGGAGACTGGTTTGAATCCCGTGTGTAGCCAAAAGTCTGCACTTATATGAAGCACTTCCACATACCTGTGCTCATCTTATTGGGGAAGTTTTGGAACAGACAGGTAGAGGGACGGGAACTTTTCCGCCTACTGGAGCTTTATGAGAAATGTATTAATGATGGGCGAATATATTGATAAATTTGTGCATGATGTCACCTCACAGTATAAGGGTCGACCAGGGCCTTTTTCCACAGGGAGTTTATACAGTCTTGCACTTTTCCCTCCAGGTACTCCTGCTACCCCAAACAGTCCAAAGGCATGCACATTAAGTTCACTGGTGATTCTAAACTAACCACATGTGAATGTAGCATGTGTTGTTGTGTGTCTCTGTGCAGTGGATTTCCATATATTTGTCCATTATCAGTGCTCCCTCCCTGCTAGTAACGCTAATGCAATGTGTAATTACTTGCTAAAGTTTACTTGCCGTATTAGCCAAATTAGTGATTTTTTTCCCCATGTATGAAATATGCAAAGTGTCTCCCCAGGGGTGGGTTTAGGATGAGGCAAACATACATAGTCAGACCTGAATAAGATGTAAGAGAGCTCCACGGGCAGCAGTGCAGAACAGAGCTAAACACCGGTTAATGTGACAATGTGTTCAGCGAAAAAAGCTTTAATATGGCAACCACGGAGGATGGTGACTAAAAGAAAAAGGGGAGATCAATCACAACAGCACCAGGAAAAGATCCATGGATGAACAGATAATACAGAAGATGGGTGGATAAGGGAAGCGGGAAGGAAAAAAGGATATCCTAATACATGACAAAATATTAGATGGAGATAGTTTAAGGCCACGCTTACATATGGAATCTTTTAGGTTTCCATATTTCTAGTTTAAATCCAGGAACATTTATATGGCTTTTTAAGCGTCAGCTTGGGATAGAAATCTCAAAAGTCTTAAAGGTCAAACTGAAAAGCCCAGCATCTTCAAAAGAGTAGTACAGGTTACTCCTTAAAAGAAAGATTTAATCTGTTAGATTATCCCTATAAAGAAAGGTTAGACAGAGAAGATGTCAGTGATAAAATGTCCTGATTCGAAACTGTCTTTTCAAGTAAGAAAGCAAAAAACTGAAATAAAAAAGCAGCACCCTAGCATAAAATTAAATCTGGGATATAATATAAAGTGATTCAAAAATGTGGCCAATAGTGGCAAATTCAGAGATCTAAAACTATATTTAGGACAAAAAGAACTATGTTGTGTTTATCTACATCAGTCAAATCCATCCTCTTTCTACCAAGATGAAAGTTAGGAACTTATTATTTCTCTTCAATATAAAACAGTATAAAGGTATGGGCACAGTGCTGATGTGTTTTATATAGACTGGATCTTTCCCTTTCATTCATTTGCCCTTTAAGCTGCCCTCTTTCAGCCTCCGTAGTGTTTTCTCCTTCATTTTCCATTCACAGTCAAAGATCTGCCTAATTGGATATGAATTAAAACTCGGCCTGCTTCAAAGAAAAAAAACAAAACTGTTTGGCTTTATTGTGCAGTACCGTTTATTCTTTAAAAAACAAACACTTCCTATGAGAATTTATATAGGACATGCATACAAACACTGGTCTAATATACAAACTCAAACGCACTGTATTTCCTCAAAGAGCAACATCCCAATAGCAAGCTGATCTTTTGAACCAGTTTAAAAAGACTGATTGCTTTTATTGTGAGCCTTTGCTTTGCTTTTATCAACCGTTTAAACTGCCAAATTCACCAATTGTTGTTTTGTGGCTTTTATCTACTTTGGAGCCGTATCAGTGCATTTTGTCATGATAATAATGTGCAAATTGGCCCATTCATTATTGTTTTTTTGATGGAGAAATTGGCTAAAATAAGCACTTTGTAGATAAGCATAGGGTCTGAACACTATTTGCAAAAGCATCTGCAGAAAACAGAATGCATTTCAAAGCACTGAATGCCAAAACTGATTTTAATACACTAATAATGGTGTAATCTTCCTATCAGAAAGTCCCCAAACACAGTGCACGCCTGGTGACTTATAAATCCGCTCAATGAGCACGTTGTATTGATTTAACTTTCTACTCGAAGTGTCAAAGTAACAAACACGTAGATGGTGATTCTCAGAAGTTAACTGATTCTGTGTAGGTACTGAAGGGATTCTTTGTCTTTGCACCCTTTTGTTCCACTGTCAGTCTGGCTGTCAAACTCCTTCTAGGTCTGACTCATTCAAGCCAGCCTTCTCTCTCGTCTTCACGGGGGGAAGAAGGCTTTAAAAATATGTCCTTATGTGTCCCTCGCTCCAAATATGGAATAAAAGAAAATAAACAAGAGTTTGTTGATGGTAACGCTCTGGCCTTTATTTTGCTAAAACTCAACTTGGTTCCTTTTTTATTGTCGGTTTTTTGTGTGCAAGAAACTTTTTTTTTCTTCTTTTTTTCTTCTGGCAAGCCAGGAAACAAAACCCGAACAACAACGACAACTTTGAAAGTCACAGCTTTAAAAAAGGGACGTTGGTACGTCTCTCAAAGGAAATTCGAGGGGAATGAATGATAAGAGAAACTATTTAGAGCAACACAAACTGCACTCTAATACGCCGAATTAAGCAAACCTTCGAATAAATATCACATGCAAAAGATACTAAAGCTGACAAAGATGACTTCTGTGCCCTACCTTCTTTGCTTGATGGACACAGGTCATGTATTGTTTGGCCAGGCTGGAGCAGTGGAGAGTCTCCTGTGGATTTTCCTTGTAGCACTGGAGCACCTTGGCCTGCAGCTCAGCGCACAGATATTCAGTATGTTGGGGTCTAGAAACACACAGAGAGAAGGAAAAGCTCAAATTTGCTTGCCAACATCACCGCCCCCACCCACCAGGACCAGAGATCAAGGTTGTAAATGCTACTATGTGAACTCAAGATAGTAAAGTCAGTCCAGCTGCAATAGAAATAGAAGTTGTCACACATGAGAAACACAAAGCTGTAGCGTCTGTTTGTCGAAACACTGATTCAGATAATCAGGAAAATAACTACCAAAACAGTTGTTATTTCCAACTGTGATTGCTTAATGGAAATTTCAACCACTGCCACACAGACGAGGTTAAAAGAAATGAGCGCTGGCAGGTATGATTCCTTTAAGTTCAACTTGCTTTTAGCAATAACAGCTTCTGTTTGGTGTAAGTGCATACGATGAGCAAACAAACCAAAAACAACAACAAAAAAAAAAAGAAAAGCGAGATTGTTTGTGGTTTGTTTTAGTCGCAGTTGAAGTAGCTAAGATAGTTTCAAAGGCTTTAAGGTGCAGCTTGTGGAGAGAGATGAATTATGCATCAACAAAGCGGCTTAGGAGTCAAAGTCAAACTTTCTCTTTTCTTTTTATCTGACTCACACGTACAGTACATGTGTGTAGAGAAAAGCACACAATCGAAACCGCAGCCACGAAATACGAGATCGGCACATACGCATGTGCACAAACGCGCATACAGGTAGCGAATGCTAATCCTATAAGAGGGTAATCCTTGAGTGCTCTGTTGCTCGTGGTAATTTACCTGCTGTTGTGACAAGAACTTGCAACTGGAAGGACTGGGATATGGATATGTACGCGCACATACGTGCACGCATGGGAATACATGAACACAAAGACGCTTAATCAATCCATGATGCCCATTTCGGTTTTTGGTTAACCGCAAACATCAACCACTTTTCTGTTGAGCTTTGTCAGTTTGTTTTTAAAGAGGGCCTTCAAGAACTAAGAAGCTGGGCCATGTGGTGACCCGGTCTCTTCTTTCCATTAACTGATATCCTTGTTGCCATTGTGAGTTTTTTGTGTTGCTATAGTAAGTAAAGCCTTGTGTTGTTCAGTATTAGTAGTACCTTCACAGATGTAGAGGCTGACCATATGTCATATGGCTTTTGCAGCAACAAGATGATCTTTTAAATGATTTTGCTCTTTTTTAATAAATTATTGTTTAATATCATGATTGAGTATTAACTTGAATTTACTGATGTAGCTCCTGTTTGCATTAACAGTCGTTTCAAGAAAACTCAGTCCTTGCAGAAATGTGTCCATTTTAATGCAGTGCTGCCATGATCACTGCCATTCAGTATTTGTTGTCATTGTCAATTTTGGTTACTTTTTGTGAGATTTTCTGATATCATTTAAGAGTATTACTTTCTATAGATGATACATTTGCAAATTCTTTGCAGTTGTAAGTTGACAAACATTGTTTTAAAATTGCCTAAAAATCTGTGTCAGCTGGAAAATGCTCGGCTCCCCGGCAACCCTGTATTAGCTAAGAAATATGACTAGTAGAAGATGATGGATGGAATTTATTTTGGAAAGAGCCGTTTGACGTTTTGCACACACTCCTTTCTTGCTGGATTATTTTTCACAGCATAGAATGCAATAAAATACATCAGACGAGAAAATGAGGAAATAGAATTAAGAGAAAGGACTGAAATGGAATTTAAGTGAAAAAATTAGGATCAGAATACAGATTAGAGTCAAATTGAAGTAGAATAAAATATGCGAATGAAAAAAAGCTCACCTCAAAACCAATTCAATAGTTTCACTCGGGCATTTGATCATGTTAAATGATATTCAGTGAAATTTCATGGAATTATTTTATTATTACATTTCCAATTGTTAGTCATGATTATTCTTTACTTTGTCTTGAGGTGAGATTTGTTTCCCACTGCTCTCTCCAAGATCAAGCATGAACTTTAAGCCTGAACTAGAATAGAACAGAGTAAAACAGAACAGAATAAAACAGGAATTCTCTCTGCTCTGTGACTCCAAACAAGACCTACTGTAGGTATTTATAATCCAAACTTTTCTTGGGTACAGACCCCAGCTAAACTATCTCAATCATCACAGCTTAACATACTATAAATGTCTAATCTGACTACATGATGTCATATATGATGGTAGTTTTTCTGCCTTTAAAATAAGAGACCGAGAGAACAGAAATTCTAAGTTTGATAAGGGGGCACGTTTTTCATCACTTCAAATAAATCATCTGACATGATGGGGCATGCCTTTTATTTTTTGGGAAGCTGACCACTTGGTATTCATGTACACGATCATGCATGTGCACATGTGCACACACACACACACACACACACACACACACAGAACTGCAGTCATGCCACCGCAGAAAGCAATTACGGAATCATGCATCCTTTACATATGAATGAGCTCAGCAGTCCCTGCCTTCACTGACAAATACACACAATAAGCTTGAGCGCATGTGTGTGTGTGTGTGTGTGTGTGTGTGTGTGTGTGTGTGTGTGCGTGTGTGTGCGTGTGTGTGTTGATCTGTACCTTGTGAATGCACTGCATGTGTGTCCATGAGATAAACCGTGTGCACAAACAAGACTGCGGGAGAAGTTTCTCTGCACTGGTATGTGTATTGTGTAGTCCCAGTGTCTGTGGCTGTGTGTGTGTGCTTCTGTGTGCAGTGGAGGGTAGAGCGACAGGATTAAATAAATCACTGGTGGAGAGAATATTCATGAAAAGAGAAGTGAATGCAACCTGGGAGACAGAAGGGGGGGGAGAGAGAATGTGACAGTGATGTATTAAATGACAAATAGCCCTTGCAGCGTGCATGGACGAACAGTAGCCCAGTAGCAATCATCATAATCTGCATTTAACCTCTGCCACATCATGTGGTGCCGTGCCACTCGGCGCCGAGGAAGAAGGGTAAATCTTTTATGTGATGTTTGACCATTCCACATTAATTTGGTACAGAGATGTTGATGTGTGGGGACAGAAATGGTCAGCTTCTAAGTATTCGTACTATTGCACAGAAAATTTAGATTATGCTATTGTGGTAAAAAAAAATCAGCAGCTTGGGCTTTCAATCACCTGATTACATTATACGATTGGTTGGTGTTTAACTTGAGAGCATCTCGAGAGCTGGTCGGCATTGTGAATTCCTCCCCAAGAATAGCAGATAACGGCAACAATAACCACAAGGTCTTAATCCAAACCCAAGAAAAGAAAATCATCCTTTTTTTCTATTCAACAAGAGGAACTTTTTGATAGCGTGTGTTTTAATAATGGAATCTGAAGCAGAAAATTGCCTCTGCTAATCTGCACCAACTGCCTTGTTTGACTGAAATTAAAGGTGAGCTCTTATTAAAAAAAGCTAGTCTGATAGCCAACTTTTGCAGGGAAAAAGAAGCAAAATAACACTCCAATTGCTTTCTGTCTGTGACGTTTTGCATAAATACGTGCAGCACTGAGGGGGAAAGATTAGGCTCAAATCGTTAAAGTTTCTCATTATTTTTTGTCTCACCTTGGCAGTGTGCAGCTTTTATGAAGAAAGCTCAAGTTCTGGTCTGCTGCAAAGCATGACACTGGGGAATTAGGCAATAAGAAGAAAAAGAGAAGATCATAAGGACACCGCTTTTTATTGTTCTCTGTGTCTGAGATGGTACTGCTTGTGTTTGTGTTTGTGCGTGTGTGTGTGTGATGTGTGTGAATGGTTATTAATGTATGATGACAAGGATTTGGTTTCATTTAAAGAAGCAGCCGAGGCATTGTACTTTTGGTTTTTAATATTACGCTGAGTGGAGAGGAAGAGAAGAGAGGATCAAAGATGTCATGGCTGGGGTGAGATCAAAAGAAATGGCAGAGCATGCATCGTGTATTGTTGGAGGCTTTGTCAAGCTTTTATTAAACTGCCATATGGATAACACTCACAACATTGTGGTTCGGCAGAAATCTTACTTTGAGATCACATCAAATTAGAGCTGCAGACTTAGCTACAGCTTGCGAGGTGTCTAATGCCTGACTAAATTCAGTAACTTTGATTATTCTGGTAGTCGCAATAATCACTTATCCTACCTTTGCAAAGTGTGCGGCAATCCTTAAGTCCTAAGCTCACTTCACACGATATGACACCAGCCCAAAACTTTACCAAGTTTAATCTCAACTCCTGCGAACACACAAAGTCTTCATCTCAAATCTAGAACAACCCAAAGACTGAAGACAGACAGAGCTCTCCCTTTATCTTCATATGCTGACAGATGAAATGCTGAAGGCAGATAAGGACGTAGGATAAAAAATTCGCACTCTGTTGGCCTGGCTGATTGATCCCCGCCAACCTCTCTTTGTGGGAATACAGGGAGAGAGAGATGGGAGTGGATAAGGACAGTGTTTCATTAAAACAGGTGACATGCGGGAACAAGATAAGAGGCGCATGTGCACGTGTGTTTGTGTGACATCTCATCACTGATAACTTTTCAATCAGGAAAACTTGCGCTTGGACGACTCACTCGAGTTAGGAATGATAGGGGACTGCTATCGCCGTCCATCACTCTCCCTTCTATCAACACTTTCAATTCCAGTTTGGTGCCCTGTCATTTGTCCTTTTCTTTTAACAACTATACTTCCCCTTAAAAACAGTGTAGCTTTTAAGCACAGAGTACAAATTGCATCAAAGCCTGAGCATATTATTTCTGCACGGTAAAATACAATCTAGAACACGATTTCATAATTTGCCTCTGAGTGAGGCGACATGCCCTTTGTTCCCCTTCCATTAGCACCAGGTAATCTTTAGATCATTAAATAATTTGCTGGTTCAGCATGTTCTTATGCAAGGTCCCAATGCTCCCCCCCAAAATGATACTGATATCAATGAGATTTTTGCCTTGTTAGTTTTTTTTCCCCTACATACAGGAATTTTTAGGCCAAAAAATGCACTTTAATATCAATATACCAAAGATCACATTAACTTAACTCTAATACACATCTTTGCTTATTAAACACACACATCAGGTTATCGACTATACTGTATGCTTACATA